AGCATTACCATATTTTGGCTAGTAACCCTCTACCTTGAAGGGCGTTTGAGCCTTGTGTTGAGTGAATTTTTTTAAATAAATGTATGACGGCGTTTGATTTATTTTTCTTGTTGTTGTCTAATCCGAAAAATCGGGTACAAACGAGAATTCATCATTGATATTCGATGTCAGCTGCGTAAAAAAGAAATATTCATGACAACGAAGATACAAGACCTAATATTCCGTAAAATAGTGAAAAAGAACTCTGACCAAAGATAACAATAGATTACTCACTATTAATCTCGGGGTAGACGCCCAACTCATAGGAGAGAAAATCACAATGACTTGCACAGACAATCTTTCGCTGAAAATTGGTCAACTGATGGTTAACTACTCAGTAAAATAATTACCTCAATTAAACAAAGAAAAGAAAAAAGGAAAGAAAAAAAGAAAAGAAAAAGCAAAGAAAAAAGAAAAAGAAAAGAAAGAAAAAAGAAAGGAAAAGGACAAAAGGAAAGAAAAAAATAAAGGAAAGGTAAAAAAAAGAAAGAAAAAAGGAAAGAAAAAAGGAAGGAAAAAAGAAAGAAAAATTAAAGAAAAGTAGAGAAAAAAGTAAAGACAAAAGAATGAAAAAAGAACGAAAACCGGAAAGAAAAAGGACAAAAGGAAAGAAAAAAAAGGAAGGAAGAAAGGAAAGAAAAAGGGAAAAATAGTAAAGAAAAACATAAAAAAGAAGAAAGAAAAAGGAGAAAAAAAAAGGAAAGAAAAAGAAAAGAATAGGCATAAAAAAGGAACAAAAAAGGAAAGAAAAAAGGAACGAAAAAGGAAAGAAACAAGATGCAAGAAAAAAAAAGAAAGAAAAAAAGGAAATAAAGATGTAGTCGATTGAAGCATCCTTGGACTTTTGTCATTCATATCTGTCTACGCATGCGCGTAATAAACGCTTGGTTGCGTTCAGGCAACAATTAAATTTACTTTACTGTATCATCTTGCAGTAACACAGTGCAATTTCGGATTTTTCTAAGATCTTTCCTGATTTGATATTTCCAAGCGGAAACGATAGACAATTCGGTTGAACAGTAGAGGAACGGTCGGATCAGTAGATTCTGGGTTTTCGTTCAATATCGATGACAAAGTGTTTTCCTATCTCAATGATTAAAATGGCTTCTAATACTAAATCCTTCATTAGGTCCTATAGACTAATGCCACAAAATTACAAACAAAAGGCTTTTCATCAAGTAACAAAAACATCGCAGTCAAACGTAGCAGTATCAAAAATTGTGAGTACAGAATAATAATAACATGAAAACGTTGAATTTCCACAATATGTTAAATAAGTTGCTTGGAAGGAAACTCCCATTAGTCGTAGAAATAATAAAATTACTGGATTTAGAAATTTCCTGGAAAATGATTTAAAGAATAAAATATGTAAGTTTCAACCGACAGAAACACTAATTCTTCATCAGACTTTATAGACTGGAGCTACAAAATCGCAAACAAATGTTCTCCTGAAAGACAAATGAAAAACATACCTTAACACCTCCAACAGCAAAAATGGGTAGCCCATTTAATTAAAAGTAAAAATAATAATAGTGAACTTTCCAAGCACAAAATATTTGGTTGTTTGTTTGGTTGGTTCATTGTGTTTAGCAGCGTATCAACACCTCTATGGGTTATTCAATGCCGAAATCTACATATTTTGTACGTCATTTTATGCTTTCAACTACAGATGTGTTGTACTTAATTTTATACTTTCGGGGTAAAATTATGCTTATTTTACATACATATTTTTTTTTTGTAATCGTCACACTTCAATCTAAAATAATAAAGTCTTTAATTACCAAACGCAATTAGAATGCTTTAGCAACAAAGAAGTAAAGAGTCAACGGAAAGATTATTGATTACTTATCAGTTAATACACAACTGCGTAGAGCTGCTAAGAAAAATACTAATTCGTCTTGAAATACGTGACATTCGACTTTAACGTCCGGGTTAACATAATAGTCAACACTTAATTGTAACCACTCCCGTTAGTGGCATGGTATCTCTATTCATAGTAAATGACGGTCGACATTTTCATTGTCTAGAGATTCACGTTCAAACTCTAGTGTCAGCAGTGACACTTTTCATTCATATATGACAATTTCGTAGATGATAAATTGTATATATTTTTATATTTTCGGAATGTTGCATTGATTGTCATTTTGCTATAAAAATATATTATTTTTTTTTTTTTTTTTTTGCTTTAGCACGCACTAGTGAAATAACTGAACAGGTGCTACCACCCCAGGTCAGGATGGATCTGGAAACACAAGCAATTAAGAGGTGGTTCCACGCTCCTCAAAACCTCCTGATCAGAGGCCTTGCTGTTGGACGTAGTTTATCGTCTTACCCAGGACGCTGGTGTAGTTTATCATCATACCCAGGACGGGAAAATAAGAGTGGTAATTATAGTAAATTGAATATTTATTAGTAGTTTTCTAACATTCAACAAGCATCTTTGTAAGTAAAACTATAAAGCCAAAGCACTTAAAATTCAATAAAATATTAGAATGTTTAAAATATCTTAAAGATTACTCGGTAGTTATTAAAAAAATGATATTAAAAAGCGTTTATGCTGAATTCCTCATGTAATTCCATTACAGTTATCTGCCCTTACATAAATTGCCCAAACATCAGGTTGTTGATAACTGTGTCAACACCTTTTAAAAACATCCACCGTTGTGCTAAAACTAAAACTAAGTAAAATTTATTTCAATTCAATTTAATTAAAGTTTAAATCAGCTAATTTTTCAGAAAAATATATTTTATTTTTGAAAGATTCTTTAATATAGTGAATTATGTTGTGTTGACAGATTTGTTAATATGGAATTTAAATTTGGCTCGAAATACTGCAACTTATTTTGTTTATTGGAAATATTAAATTTAATCTATTAGCTTGGAATTAAAAAAAGCTTCAAGAAAGATATTTCATTTTCAAAATGCATTTTAAATCTTAGGTATTAATTCTCTTTTTTTTGTGTGTGTGTCTGTATGTCTTTCGCTCTTTTTCTCTGTATCTATCTGCTTCTTTTTCTCTTTTTCTGTCTGTCTGTCTGTCCCTCACTCTTTCCAAATTCTGATGTTTAGCCATTTGCTCTGTAGAAGTATTTCTCAATTTTTTTCTTCTCCAGTACGCACTTGTAGAATAGCGAAAACTCTAGGGTGCAATTTACATCTTAATAAGAGAAATTAGTCATAAAATTTGAAAACAGGAAAATAATATAGAAGTCTCCTGAAATGCATATTTATTTTAAAGACATTACATTGTATATTTAAGTAAGCTTGTGTGAAATCTGAGCTGGATGTTTTTTTGGCAAAGAAAAAACATTACCTTTAATGGTTGTCATGTTTGGTTTAGCATTCCCAAAGAGGATTAGCGCTACAGTTTTCATTTAAAGAGATTTATGAAGAATCTGATACTTTTTTTTAGAGAGGTTGATAATGACTGATTTAAAACCCTTGAGGGAGGCAACAGAAAAAGGATTATACACTCCTTAAAGATTAAGGAATTTAGAAGCTAGATTAAAATATCAAATGACAAAGATTTGACTTAGACATAGATGCCAATATAATTGGTGTCTCTAGCTTTTTCAAAATAAAGATTTTTAAATATAAAATAATTCATAATATACAAAATCTAAAAAAAAATAAGTATTGACAGTAAGCCTAATAAAACGTATTGTATATCAGTAGGCCTTTTGACCAGATGAGAAAGATGTTAAAAATTGGAATTTTTGGACCCTTTTGCTTTTTCTCCAGGGGAATTTTTTTTTTCCGCATGAGTTTTATTACTGAAGAGATCTGATAGTTTTGGTTTAGTTGTTTGTCACAATTAACGTTGTAGAGGGTTTGTAGAAGACTAGATAGTGTAATGGTTAACAAGTTTGTCTCGATAGAACAATTACGACTGAGTAGTGAGTTCGATCCTCACTGGGTGGCCCATATTTTCGGCCTTGTGCTACATCTAATCTCTGCTTCGAAAATAACTATATTTGAACCCCTCCCCGATTCTTCTGGGGTGGGGGTGGGCAGAGGAGTAGAAAGGATTTTCCCCCGTCAGGATGGATAGTGCAGATATAGTAGCTGTTCTCTTCTACTTTGCGTTCTTCTCCCACGTGACGTAGCGGGGGTATGACCACCTATGACTAGCTTAGACGAGCTATGACCAGCTAAGACCAGCTTAGACGAGCTATGACCAGCTAAGACCAACTTAAACGAGCTATGACCAGCTAAGACCAGCTTAGACGAGCTATGACCAGCTAAGACCAACTTAAACGAGCTATGACCAGCTAAGACCAGCTTAGACGAGCTATGACCAGCTAAGACCAGCTTAAACGAGCTATGACCAGCTAAGACCAGCTTAGACGAGCTATGACTAGCTAAGACCAGCTTAGACGAGCTATGACCAGCTAAGACCAGCTTAGACAACCTCAGACTAGCGGTCCGAGTGGAAACACTAGGTTCCCTACGTTAAAAACCGACTTTGTGTCACAACCTTAATCAATTTGGGGGGGGGTAAATCTCGGGTGTTTAGAAGACTTTGTGTATGTGTGTGTGTGTATGTGTGTGTGTGTGTATGTGTGTGCGTGCTTGCGTGTGTGTTATTCTGACCATACTGATCACCGTCCACATCATACTTATCACTAATTACTGCTATCTACTAAACGTAGGGGATCGCAAGGTCAGATGTGAATTAGAGTGTGGCGGATTGTATTAAACCAACCTTCTAAGTAAAGAACATCTGACTGTGTGTCTTGGATATCAGCATTCAGAAGCCCGATTTATACCTGAGCATGGCCACAGACCACTGGCACCAATAAAAAAACTTTGTCGATGTGTTAGTCATGAGACAAGCTCTAAATAACTAAGAGGTAACAACCTCGTTTTGAATGTACTTTAAAACCTCGTTTTCAATCTACTTCAGCTTTCAGTCTGGTCATAGTCTAATAGTTGGCAAGCTGATCTCGGGGACCATTGTCTTACGGTCATATCAGGTTGAAACACCGCTTCTCGTACGGCCACCTAAGTTAAGCAACGTTGAACCTGGTTTGTACTTAGATGGGTGACCGCGAATAGCAGCTGATGTAAGCTGGGATGTGCAGTTGATGTAATGGGTATAACATTGAAACACCTGTTCTCGTCCGGTTACCGAAGTTAAGCAACGTTGAGCCTGGTTAGTACATAGATGGGTGACCACTTGGGAATACCAGGTGCTGTAACTATGGATGTTCGGGTGGTGCCATGGATAACGGTTCGGAATTGTTAATCTGAGAGTCGAGTTCCAATTCCAGTCGAATTCGCTATATATTTGCTTACATGCAAATACCTTTGGGAGACGGATGAATCCACCTCTTTCCCCCGCCAGTTATGGGTTAATAAGTAAAATGAATTAAAAGTAATCATTATTGTTGTAAAAAATCTCTGGCCTTAAATAACCTGCAAAAGGTTGATAAGCCATAAAAAACACATAGAAAACGAAGACTATTAGCCATGAGTAGAGAGTTCTATCCTCACTAGATGTCCAATCTATATGACAAAGTGGAGATACCTTACTAAATAAATAAATAATTTATTTTACATCACCAGTTGCGCTTAAGCATGAATCAAACTGTCGTCATCTAGTGTTGATACCTATGTCTACACTGATTATATTTACATACGCTGTGTCTCTGATATTGAGCACCTGTCTCCCATAAATATAGCATATAAGAGCAGAACAAGAGATATTCATTTCTTATGTAGAATAATTGAACTTTGCTTGACTGTGAAAGTCTTCTGTGGTTGAGTAGGCTAATATCATGCCCGGCAATACGGTAGTTTTCTCTAAAATAGAGACGCGGGTTTTTTAGTCCTAGGCCGGTAGACATAGATTTACATTGTTTAACTATTTGATGTCTGGACATGCTTGGAGATGTTTAGTTTTCAACCACATTTTAATATGACACCAAATAGGGGTTAGCAAACATAAGATAATCATATAAGCACCTATTGTATTTTTGTCTTTTCTGTGTATATTATGAATAAAATAATCAAGATTAATGATCGTCGTAGTCTAATAGCTGGCAAGCTGATCTAGGTGACCATGGCTTGCGGTCATATCAGATTGAAACACGTCGATCCTGGTCTGTACTTAGATGGGTGACCGCTTGGGAATACCAAATGCTATAACCGTGGATGTTCAGGCCAAGTCATAGTGCAGATATAGGCCATAACTGGAAGCGTCTTTCAGACCATATCGTTCCACTGGGAGTAAAGATTTTTAGCTTAGGTGTGGGTTTGTGTTAGATCGCTGCTATAGTCAGCCTATGAACTTTCATCCCACCCTCGTACCTGGAAAGAAACAATGCAGTTATTAATAAGAAGAGTTGAAATTAATGAATGCAAGGTTTCACAGCTCTAGCATCACTCCTTCATAGTCAGTCAATGAACGTTTCAATCCACCTTCGTAGCTGGAAAGAAACAATGCAGTTATTAATAAGAAGAGTGAAATTAAGTCATGCAAGATTTCACAGCTCTAGCGTCACTCCTTCATAGTCAACCTATGGACTTTTAAGTCCACCCTCCTAATAATATTTTTCTAGCAAATGTTGCAAGGTATCTCCCAAGAAAGTCAATCAATAATGTGTTTTTTGCCGAATTTTTAACAATTTTTTCTTCCAGAAACTTTTTTTTATTGATTCTGATTTTGCACTGAAAAATTTTATTTAAAAAATCTATTATTTGTTATATAAAATTAATTTAATGATATTGTTATTCCTAACAACAATATCGACGATAAAATTTAATTTTGTAGTACTAATTTGTTTTTCTTTCTAGAATGTATTTTAAAAAAACTATGTTGAATTTTAGTTTAACTTTCCGGTAAAAAACATAAAATATGAGTAATATTTTATACTACAAATATTAATGAAAATTCACTTTTTAAGAATATTGTTACATAAAGTTATTGTCATATAATTAAAGTCAATAAATTCAGTTCGATATTTTTAGATATCGTAAATGAAAACTATGAAACGGTAACCTTGCCTTAATCTTAAACCACGCATTTTAAAGAGATGTTTTTCCAGGCCTCTAAAAAAAAGTATATTTACGACAAAATAAGCCGGTATAATAATAATTTATTTCTAATCAATCAAATAAATAAATTAAAAACAACTTTCTTTCATGTTTATTTTGTTTGAAGTCACATTTTTGTCCCAGAATTAACAGTTGATATAAATTTTGTTTTCTTAAAACTGTTTTAACGTGGTTAATTAATTCAAATATTAAAATGCATATATATTTCGCACACCTTGTTAACGAGTTGAGATGTGATGGACACGAAACTCCGCCAAATTATACATTAATTCTAAGGAAATCTTAGTTAAGAAAAATATATCAAGATAATGGAAATTAACTTTTCAAGTCAAATTAATTAGGCTCTTCATCAGTACATTTTCATTTGAATTTCTTAAGTCGACTACAGCAGGGAAGTACTGCAAGCACAAATCAAAATTAAAAATCTTTGCTTCAAGTGAAACGACCAGATTTGATATTGGCCTCCAGTTCCAGCCTTGTTGTATTATGACTTGGACTGAAGTATAGAACGCCATGTTACTCAAATGTATCTAATAAATATAAATATTAAAGTAATAAGAAATATAAAATATCACTAAAATATATTTTATTACATTCATTTGTCATTTACAAAGATAAACATTTTTTTTAAACAATCATTCTTAGACAAGCATTCTAATGTCGAAACGAATAGATTTACTTTTCTCTCTTGTGATGCCGATCGGAGAACAACGGTGTGGATGTGAATGGTTTTCAATATCGTTGGTAAGTTTTGAATGCTGTTTTCAAAGTTGAAATTTAGACAAAAAGTAGGGTCGTTATCAAGAGGAAAAGCCCGAGGTGCAACCTCAGAATCAGAGATGTCAGCCTCGAAGAATTACATAAGTTTAAATATCTGGGAAGTGTTTTAACAGAGGATAGAAAATGTGACACTGAAATCCGAACACGCATTTTATTAGCGGAAGTTACCTTCCAAAAGCTAAGTTGATTAGTTGGTTTTGTTTGGCGGCATATCAACACCTCTATGCGTTATTTATTGCCGAAATCTAAATATATTGAACACAATTTTATGGCTTCAACTACAGATAAAATGTATTGCCGGCCATTTTATTTTAAAAACATTGGTAATTTTACTATAAATATGTATTGTTGATAATTTTACTATATAAAAAAATGTATTAGTTATTTTTACTATAAAAATGTATTTTTATACTTTCATTGTTTTGTTTTTGGGTTTCCTATTTGCCCAGAGCTGGGATCCAAGCAGGTGCTACCACACCGGGTCAGGGAACATCTGAGAACAACAGCAATTAATAGGCTGTTCTACTTTTCTTAAAACCTTCAATCTCTCAATAGTGATATCCAGGACTGCTAAGCCTGAGACATGAAAATTTAGAAACAAAGTCTGGTGAACTCTTATGTGGTATCAATCCTGCCACAGTGAATGCTGGTCGATCTTCTCTGGAATGAAGGGAAAAGGGGAGCAACACAAATATGGTTCTACAGAAGGATACTGAGAATTTCATGGATGAAACGCGTAAAAAACGAAAAATCTTAATGAAAATAAAAATAAAAAAAAATACACGCTTATACTCAGAAGTAGAAAGAGACAACTGAAATTTCTTGGACACATAACGAAAGAAGGGGGCTTTGAGAATTTGATACTCACAGGGCGTATTGTGGGCAAAAGGGATAGAGGAAGATAGCAAGACACCTACCTAACGAGCTTGTGTTAATGAATTGCGGGACTCTTGGCAAAGAAGTAAACGTGGTTAAGGGCTGCAAGAGATAGGAAGATGTGGAGGTCCATAATCGCAGTAAACCAAGTTATGATTTACTTACGAATATTGAGAATACCATAGACATAGAATGAAATGTGGAAGTTTTCAAGAGAATAAAAGTTGCAAGAAAACTGTTGAAAAACTGTTAATCAGAAAGAGCCAACTGAAAAAACTGCATAAGGAGGCAAAGGAATGGAGGCTTGGAGGATCTAATACCCATCAGACACATCGTTAGATGGAGGAATAAAAAGAACAACAATAAAAAGGGCCCGTAAAAGAGAAAATATTATGAGCAAAAAAAAAAATAAAAAAGCTGTAAGGCATTACGAATCGCCAACGTTCTGAATGAATAAGAAACACACACGAAGACAGAAGAAGGGAAAAGGAAAATCACAGAAAGTTTAGGGTTGATAATGATATCTAAGACCAGTAAAAAAATTGGAAAAATCTGGTAGTAAATACAAAAGGCAGGATCGAAATTACTAAGGCTAACATCCGAACAGAAGATAATGGTACAAAAACACGAGTGTCATTAAGGAAAGCTTGGAGAATTTGTTACTCACAGGACAAGTCGAGGGACAGCGGAAGACAGGACTGAGAAGCTTGTGTGAATGAATTGGGGAAACTGGAGGTGCAAAGCTTAACAAAGGAATAAATATTGCTAAGGGCTTCACGGACTAGAAGGCTCTGGAAAGACATAATCGTACACATCCTGAAGGAACACAGCAAAGAAGAACCAGGGTTTGTTTCCGGAGAGGAAAGAACATCAGAACAATTACCATGAAAATATTTATAGAAAAGGCACATGGAAGCTACTTTACGGCGGTGAAAAAGTGACTGCAACCGAGATGCCAGCTCAGGACTAATAACATTGCAGATTCTTCTTTGGATATTATCAAGAATCTCTAAATATATAGCCGGAGCACCAGACCATATATGGCAGTAATATTCAAAGCATGGGCAAATTGTAAACTTATAAATATGTAAGATAGATTCTTGCGGGAAAAAAATTGTCTAGCATTACAGAGTGAACCAACTTTCTTAGCTTCAGATCTAGAAATTGATTCAATTTAATCTTTTTTTATTTCATCTCAACGGAAAACATCAGTCCGGGAAGGGGCGGTGATTTTGCTATCATTCGTGGGCCTCTATTCTTAATTTGGTTTTAATTAACCCATTAGTACTAACCGTTCCTTTTCAGCGATTTTACTGGATATTTAAAGAAAATAATATTATTAATACCATGTTTTGCAGTTAACACTCAGACAGTCAGTTATGTGCAATGCGTTATACCCGCTTAGGCGATCATGTATCTTTCGATACATGACTGACGAGGCAAATTTTTTCCTGCACTAAATTGTCATTTCTTTCTGCGGTAGACCAGTTGCCGTCCCAGGCTATAGAACACGGTCTGTCTTGTTATTTATCCATACCTGGGGGACAGAAGAAGAGGATTCATGCCTTTCCCAAGGGTATTAGCGCGTAAGTGAATGCAATGGATTCGACTGAAATTCGAATTCGGCTCTCCGATTCCTCAATCCGAGCAGTTATTCATTACTCCACCATGCCTCTTCTACTTTATAACGGGTGAGAGCGATGGTAGAAGGATTTATTCTCCCTATTTATGTCCCCCACCCCTTCATGGGCATTAATATATTTCTATATAATAACACCGTAGTTCATGCACGGAACAGAATGACTGAAAGGAAGAAAAATGACAAACATACTTTGTTCTCAGAGAGATTTTTATACTACTAAACTACTAAGACATAAATCAAACTATGTATATACATATATACACGTGTACCACGCAGAGAATAATATATCACATATATCTACACAGCAAAGCAGAGTGTAAGGAAAAAAAAATGAAGGATCTTACATATAATATAGAGATACTCCTGTGTCTGTAGAAGCCATGTTTAGGACTCCAGATTCAAATGGTACAGAATCATCCACTATGGTCCAGGTGAGGACATATTCCACGAACGGGAAAGAGCGAGTCTTGGGTTTTCCCAAATTGAGGACTGCGAGCTGGAGTTTTCTTCCTATATCAGAGAAATATACATCCCCGAAAGGAAACGGCACCCACAGACATGTAAACTGCTGGGGAGGCAGAAGATATAGCCTCTGCCCAGTCCATGGAGGCCTTCAGCTAAAAAAAAGCAACCTCTTGGTTTGGCTACAGTAAACTGACTGAAATTGACTACCGCTCTCGTCACTGTATGAAGTGACGTCATTAATCGGCCGTCATGTGACAAATGTGGCTGCACTAAAGAGTGATAATCGACTTCAGTATCTCTACAACATCTTGATCAACGCGCGTACTCCGATGGCGAAGGAAGGAGATTATGAGAAAGACGAGATCTGGAAGCTGGAGACTTCTCGATCTTTTTTAGTGCTTCTTTCAAATCTTTTTTTTCTTTAATGAAAGACATGTATTCCTTTTTGACTTACCGGTTAGATCACCGTAGTTAAGCAACTCTGAGTCTAGTCACTGCCTAGATGAGTGACCGTATGCGAATACCAGGAGTGGTGCAATGAATGACGGCTGGGTATGAGAAATCAGAGAGCAGAGTTCAAATTCCAATCGGGTTCGTTACATTCCCTTACACGCAAATACCCACATGAATCGAAACGCGACATGTTCACCTAAGCGTGTCATCTCTTCCCCTTACCAACACACATTGCTCGGTAGAGCAATGGCCCTTTCTTCCCCTTGATCTGCGGATGGTTTACGTCCAACAAAGAACCTTCACAGACTGAGATACGAATGACTTCTTGACTGTCACGAGCAGCTTACTCTTCTTTAAGAAATGCATGTAATACAGCTTGTTCTATATTTTTCAATATGAAGATATTTCGCTTCTTTTCAAAATGAATCATTCCATACCATATTCCTGTAGTTTAGCGTGGAAATAAATGCATTAAAGTTTCCGTTTTGCTTTTAGCAGGTAGAAAAAGAAAATTCTTTCAATAATCATAGTACACCTAATAAAGATTGTAGAACATCTCTTTGAAATTTGATGAAACCAACATCTAAAAAATACTATTGTCTAAATTATTCGAAGAATAATGAAATTTCCTTTCATAAAATTTGTGAAAATTTGTTCGTCCATTAACGTTATTGCAATAAAAAGATTCAAAATAATATTCTTTGGCGTACTGTGAAGAATAACAAACAATTAGAAATTTAAATAAAATTATTGATTTGATATTATTGAATTCGTTTGGATAATAATCTAAATTCTGTAGTGGATTTGGATTTAATCTGTGAGTTAGTCGATACTCGTTTTAATCCGTGAATTACTCGAAGCTGGTTGCAATCTGTGAATTAGTCGATATTCGTTTTAACCTGTGAATTAGTCGATAGTCATTTTAATCTGTGAATTAATCGATACTCCTTTTACCAATTGGATTTCTTCTGTGTCACCACCACGATGTCACCGTTTTCTAAGATGATCAACTGTCAGGTAGATTATTTTTTGGTTCTTGAATCCTCTCTCTCTCTCTAAATTTCATGACCTTCTTCAGGCAAATAAAAGGAATAAATTGGTATGAGAGCTGGTGATGATAGATGCAGTGCTGAGAGATGTCGTCCTATCAAGTCTAAGGGTTTTTATTAGCACTTATCAGAAATTCACTTTTGCCAACAGTCCAGAAAGAAGTTTCAGGGCTCACTAACAAATACAAGAAAACGAACAATGAGACATTAAAAGAAGATAAGAAAAATCTATTACTTTTAATTGCCTGAAGAAGGACACGAGACCGGAAACGCGTGTAGCAGAAATATGAAGAAAATTATAATATATATACTAAAACAAATCCACATTATAACCAAAAATGTTTGCAGCCTCTCTCTCTCTCTTAATATATATATATATATATATATATATATATATATATATATATATATATATATATATATATATATATATATATATTTCAATAAAAGGTGCAATTAATTTACAAATTCATAAATTATTCATACAAAAAACAGAAAATTTATGCAACAGAAGTTTATAAAAACAAGGATCTTTTCATTCATAAACAGGTTCGGGGTTTTTGTATATTATTTGAATTGTTCGCGACGATGGATTTCTCACCAATTAAATCATTAACCTTTGTATTTGTTTTTTGTATGAATAATTCATGAATATATATATATATATATATATATATATATATATATATATATATATATATATATATATATATATATATAGTTAATGTGATTTCATATTTGTTCAGATCTTATGAACATACTGTAGTACTGGCTGCTCGATCAATGAATTACCAACAAAACCAAAATGAAAAATTGTTATTTCCCGTCTTTGGTACCTATATTACAACTTCATCTAAAGCCGGGATTAAAAATCGGCTCTTGACGCCAAGGTGAATTACACAACTACCTCAGCCACCAAGCCGGTCGGTTACCCATTCGTTTTTGCTGGAGGTTTCTTATTTTCCCGCTTGCTTTTTGTTTTACTTCCTTTTTTTTTTTATTACTTTTCAAATAATTCATTTTTATAATTATTTCTTTCTGCTGCCAGCATTATTATTATATTTTTTTTCTTCTCTTTTTTTTTTTATTGTTGGTTCCTCCCTTCCTTTAAGACATTCTTTCGTTCATTCTTTTCTTTCTTCAAGCCACTCTTTTCCATCCTGTCTGTAGCGACGCTAAACCTGAATTGAAAAGTAAATTCAAGCAACAAACACTTTGAACTTGCAAGAAGAAATGCGATTTAGAAAGCGTTTTCTTTTATAATTCATCAGAAGAGTTACACAACAAATAATGTGCAGGATTTCTAAGCAGAAAGCACAATGGCTTCTTCAAGTTTGATGTGTAAGAGACATGCCTTCCCTCTTGATGTTCCGACATACACGACACATTTTGGGCGTTTGTTAAGCGAAAATCTGTTGGAAGAAAATTAATCTTTTCATTTCTATCTCTCTCTCCCTCTCTCGCTTATATATATATATATATATATATATATTTATCATGTGCGTATGTATTTGTGTGTAAAGAGAGATACATATACGCAGTTACTTTTAATATTTATATACTTAAATATGACATTTTAATGTTTAATCTTTAAATATGACATTTTAATGTTTAAGTGTTTAAATATGACATTTTATGTATATTTGTATAACAATATATCCATCTATCTCATCTTGTTCATATCTGTCTTTCTCTCTCTCTCTCTCTCTCTCTCTATATATATATATATATATATATATATATATATATATATATATATATATATATATATATAGATAGATAGATAGATAGATAGATAGATAGATAAAGTGAGAAAATAAGTGAAAATTATGAGAATTTTATGTATATTTGTTAGGAAAGAAGAAGTTCTGCCAAAAAGCGTACAATAGATAACTAAAGCTATAATATTAAAAAAATTTTAAAAAGTGTAAGTGAGTTATCTGGTTAGCCGATTCAAGATGATGAACGTTTTAAACTAAACTCTTGAGTCAGCTAATCAGATAACTTGAACATTTTTAATCTATTGAAAATTATGATAAGAATATAGTTTTAATGTATGCTATATGTATGTACTGAAGGGCTCAATATTAGGGATAGAGCGTAAATAAATATAAAGGTAGACATCTAGGTCAAAACCCAGCGGCGACAGTTTGTTTCAACGCAATCTGCAGCTTATACTCAATCTCCAGGCCTTTTGTTATAACTCGACTATTTATATATGCTGGTCAATGGTTACATCATGTGCAGGCCTGTTGCATTCTTCTAACGGCTATTGAGTGTGCAGTAACGGTTTGTTTCAAATTATTGCTAAAATTAATACACACACACACACACACACACACAGACACACACACACACACACACACACACACATATATATATATATATATATATATATATGTGTGTAGGTGGTGTGTGTGTGGGGGGGTAAGCAATCCAAATAGATCCTATTAATAAAAAACTATTAAAACTGATTCATAAAAGAGAGCTCAATATATTTATTTCAGAGCATATAAGTGAACTACAAAAATGAAAGCCAAATTACCCCCATTCAGATGCCCATTTCGTCCCCAGGAGATTCTCCCTGGGACTTGTCAATTCAAATACATTTGTCTATATTTCTGAGATGAGGTATTATGTACACTATTTACATTATTCGGACCATCGTCCTCATCTTTGTTGCCATATTTATTGGAATGTCGAACTGAACCCTTTATTTCGCTCGCTGGGGTAGACTGTTCTAGTTCCACGTCCTATCTCTAATGGATGCCAGCTATCAGTTATCTCCTGTTAATTCACCTCTCCAATTTCTCCACCGTCTTAACCAGGGCGAAATAAAGGGTTAAGTTCGACATTGCAACCACCTGAAGAAGGCCGGAGCGTACAACAACCGAAACGTTGTGATAAATTATGGCAACAAAGATGATGACAATAATAATAATGTAAATAGTGCAAACATATTTGTATACGAAAATTTTCTTTAACAAACGTATTTGCATTGACAAGTCCCAGATAGAATCTCCTGGGGACGAAATGGCCATCTGAGTTGGGGTAATTTGGGTTTCATTTTTGTAATTCACTATATATATATATATATATATATATATATATATATATATATATATATATATATGTATATAGAAAAAAAGAAAAACTTAATATTGTCTATCTAACCGTAATGTTTACTGAAGTCAGGAGCTTCGTTGTTTTTTATAGTATAAATTCTGAATAAATATGGTTAGAAGAAAATATTTTGAATAAAAACCTAGATAATAATCTATTATCAGGGAACATTTTAGAAAAATATTCAAAATTTTCTTACGAGTTTTTATATAGTAAACACATAGTTATTCTCCAAGCATAAATTAGATGTGGCACAAGGCCGAAAGCATGTGGCATCTAGTGAGGATCGAACTCACTTTTCAGTTGTAACTGATTTAGCGAGACAAGCTTGCTAACCATTACACCACGCTGAGGTGCCCCTGAAAGAAGCATATATGAAACACCGAAGATTTTTGCTGCTTTTATAGGCAGTTATTAAATGTAACTTTGAGAAGCAGCCACTGTGCATGAACGAGACATTGGAATGAGTATTCTATTTTGTGTGATCGAAAAGCATATGAGAATTATACCTAAAAGTACAATCACCATTTACTGAATTTAGTACATAAAACTACAATTTTAGAAGTATTGGAAATTATTTAATTTTAATTTAATTATTTTAATATTTTAATTTTTATATATACTAATGAATAAGGGTGAGGCAACGAAACCAGGCATGGCTGATCATATATTGGGAGAACATTGGTCTGCGGTGTAAGGAAGTAAAAATATTAGACACAAAAGTATCACTGACGTCTAAATGAATCAGCTTATCTGCTATGCTATGGCGATCTTATCAGTGGGCCTAGCATAAATTTAAATCCCATATGGAAAGCTCAAGGAAGAAATAAAGAGAAACAGTAACAGAGAAAGCGAAGTTTGACAGTAAATCTTCAGCAGCATGAAGGGAAAGAAGAGTCGATAGGGGGGATCGAAGCCTAGCGGCAAGGTTCTATCTTCAGGATTGTCCAATTTGACAATCGCTAAAAGGAATAAAACGTTTAAAGTTCACGCGCTTATTTTAGCGTCTCTTCCAATTTTCAAAACGGTTTACAAACTCGTTTTTCGTGATCGCCATCAGCTGCTATGTCAATTTCTTTTTAATCCCGTCTACGGTCTGAAGACTCCAACTTTTCCATGCCGATTTTCGCTTTGACAGAACCAACAGTTGAAGGGAAACAAATCTAGACTGGAGGGAGAAGGGTGTTACAGATGCATTGTATTGCTAGAAACCTCACACGAGACGAGAGGAAGTGGAAGGCGCAGTATCATGAGGAAAGGACGATTACTCATTGCATAAGTTGATTCAATGACGTTTCATTGCCGGCTGAGTATTTGTTCGTAAATGTCGCGTATGGTCTCTTCTGATTGATGATCAAGTAACAACAAGGTCGCGCAACAAGCCAAGATATATAAGAAATCGAATTTATTAATACATAGATTTTTGTAGAAAAATTGGTAAATGAAACAAAGTAATAAGTAAATTTATTTTAAAATATTCAACTACTAAAATATTGATATCTTTAGAAAAAATGTTAGAAAAATGAAGCTCCAAACAATTTCGATGTAAAAATAACGTCTGTTTTCTGATAATGTTGAAGAGAAGAAGAAGAAGAAAAGAAAAAATAAAGGACACGAGGAAGGAAAAAAGATATTCTGAACTATTTCTATTATTGATGTAAATTCTAAAAAAGGAAATCGGGTTTGTTTTGATTTGGGGTTGGCCCCACTCCTTTGAACGGGTGAAGGTGTGGGAAACTTAAATTAGTCTTTTTCTTGTATCGCTTATGGGAAAGGTCCCCAGGCAGAAATATAATGAGAATTTTCGTACATGGCTTTTACCTGCCATGAAGACAGAAGAAAATTTAAAGCAGTTGTATCCTTTAGAAAGGAATGAAAATAGTGGAGAAATCAGTCGAATTCGTTATAAGAAATCTTCCTGGTTTTGAAAAAGACGACGAGATTCCGCCAATTTTGATTCTTCCCTACAATGGAAGAGAAAAAGATATTCGATAAGAACTGTATGTTCAAAAGAAAATATGCTCAGTCAAATAAGAACCTAATTTTGGCATGTCTAAAATTTTAATTACCCTGTATGAGTTCATCGAGTCTTTTCGGAATCAATTTATACGACGATTCTGATATAATATGTGTAAAATATTTGAAAGAGAAATTGAAACGTATACAAAAAACAACAAAAAAAAAACTTATTTTATAAAGTCCTAGAATTGAACTGCCAACGTCTAAGGAACTATTCTAAATGTTTTGTATAGGAACTTACATTTTTGTAGATGCGAAAGTTTCGAACTATTTTCATTTATTGAAACACAACAAGTTCAGTTGACCATTGATGACAATTCAAGAACAACGTAACGACAAACAATTTTTTTCTATCCTCTGCCAGCCGCAATGATGGAGAAAGCATTACCTCGCACCATGGCCAGTGAGACACGCTGCAAGAGACACGCTGCAAGAGCCACTCCGTTTCGTGAGGCTCGTCCCTTAATCGAGACGCAATCGCGCCAATCCTCCGAAGGAACGCCATCGAACGAGGGCCAATAACCCCTGAAGTCTCCATTGCCACAGGAGTAAAAACAAATTTATCAGCAAGAGAAGAATATTTAACTATTTTTTTCATCTCTGCGTCCCGGGCGACGGATCCCGGCTCAACCGCGGACCTGATCAAATTACCGGCCGAAAATGTATGCGCACAGGTCGCATCCCAAATCAACGACTTCCCCATTTTAAATGGGAAAATAGTAATGCCATCCGACCGCTTTCCATCAATTATTATTTGGAAAGAATTATCTAAAACAAGAATACCTAAAGGGAGGCTCTTTAAAGTAAAAACAATTTAGTTGAGCAGTTTTTTTTTTATCATTTCGCCCCAAGCAAGGCGATAATGCCACTAAGACGAAAGGTTACATGCAGTGAAAGAGAATGAGAAGACTTTAATGAGGAGAAAATACCAGAGAACAGAGTTCAGGAAGAGAGAAGATAGCGATTAATGTTTCATTTAAAACCTTTGAAGACTGTAGGTGGCTGAGTCGTCATAAACCG